GCTTTCCCTTGGCTAGTTCTTCTCCTTCCTTGCAACAATGACACCTCCAAGATCAATAATGGCCTCCTACTTAGCTCCAAATGCTCACACTCGATTAGGGTTTCACTCAAGGGGCTAGTGAGCACAAATGACGGCCATTAGGCCCTTTAAATAGGTCTCAAACCCGAGAAATTAGGGTTTCATTACACAGCGCTGACTCGCCGAGTCCATATCCTGGACTTGCCGAGTCTAGGCGCGATCCCGCGTCTAGATCCGCGTCCCTACTCGGCGAGTCTGAGCTCCAACTCGCCGAGTCCCCTCTCAAATCACCAAAAACACAATATATAAGATACCTGAAATATCCGGCTATTACATTTCGGTTCGGCTGTAGCTAGCAGCCAGGTGCGGGATTGTCAGTCCGGTATAGATCTATAAATTCAAGTCACGCTCTCCTCTGTTCAGAGATTCTGGTTACAAGGGTAGTCCTCCACTCTCTCGTGCCAAGGAAGTGTTACAGAGGACGTGGTTCCTTTCACATCTTGGGTTTCTACATTATGAGGCATAATGCCAACAATAATGCCTCTTAAGCATGATCTTGGGTCAAGTTTGTTTGGTGGTTCCTTTCACATCTTGGGTTTCTACATTATGAGGCATAATGCCCAAATTCTTTATAGTCATAATATTGGAGTTTGCTAATATCGTGACTGTTTGATGACCCTCGATTTCCTTCTCGTTTTTGTTCAGCAACACCTCTTCCATGGCATCTTCCACGGTTGCTATAATTATTCTACCTGTCGCGACTTCTTCCACGACCTCATTGATTGCTTGGAATGCTATTGTAGGATCTGTGAGAGGATTTTGATTCCTCTTCACTTTGCTTCTTGTTTCTTTCAGACCACTCTTAATGGTCAATAGAAGCTTCTTTTCCTCAATTTCACTGTGCCCACAGATTCTCTATCTCGTGAGCTTTCAACCTACCAACATTTTCTTCAACAGTCATCTTATCAAGATGTATGAATTGCTCAATGGTTGATGCAATCTGCAAAAACATTGATGGAATTGTTTGTAGTAGCTTCATCACTACATACGCTTCCTCAGCTTTGTCTCCTAAGGCCCATATATAACTTATAATATTGTTTATCTTCATAGCAAACTCATCCACTGTTTCCATCTCCTTCATAGTTAGAACTTTATATTCTGCTTTTAACGTCTGCACCATTGCTATCTTTACTCTATCAACCCCCATGTATATAACTTTTAGAGTCTCACATGCTTTCATTGTCATTTTTTTCTCTACCAATGACAAAAACATATCTTCTAGGATTCTTTGATTGATGGCTGCAAGTACCATCTTATGTTTTCTAACTTCAACTACATCTTCTCGTTTACTAGGCTCTACAACATCTCAAACACCTTGTGCTTGCATGAACACTTTCATTTTAATGGCCCATGCAGCATAGCTATTTCTTGACAACAAAGGATAGTGCAGTGTAATCTGCCCATCCTTCTCATTCCTTGATGAATCTCCCATGGATGTAGAATGGGGTTGATATTTTGGCATAAACTTTTATAAACACTGATACAAAATGTTGGTTTACTGTCTTTTAATTGCTTGTCTCTTTGCTAAAAAATAGAGAATGGATATGGAGAACTTTTGCTTTCGTGTGTATGTGTAGAGACAAAGAAAAAAATGCCAAAATTGTAGCTAAATTGTTGTCACGTTTTTTTCTTAAAAAAAGAAAAAAATATAAAAAAATATAAAAAATAAAAAACTAGACTAATATAAAGAGAACAAACATTTAAACTAGACAACTACTTCTAACTTTCTTCAACTACAACATTAAGGAAAACATTAAAAATGGCAACATCTTTCATTAAAACGAAAGAGTCAAACACTCAACCTAGAGTAGGATATGATGAATTGAACACCTTCCAAAAACGTGATTCCGCCATCTCTTTCTCTTTTTTTTATAAAACTTATGGATTACTATAATAGTCTTTGATGTTGGTGATTCCAAACGGCTTTCCAGATGTGTCCTAGTTGCCTGCCATCGTAAAGAAGACGTTATGTGTGACAGAATGAGAATAATTTAAAAAATTGTATAATAACCTTATAGACGGTTTAATTAGTGAAAATCCTTAATAATTAAAATAATCATATAAGATTTAACGTATTCATATTATCAAAACAACATATTTTCTTTGTAATTCTCACAGAATAGCATTATCCACACGTCCACACAATAAATGTCAATCCACATTTGAACCTATACTACTAGAAAAACAGCCTTTTACGACGCTCATTGCGCGTCGTAAAACGCTCAGACGACGTGCAAATGCGCGTCAAGGAAGGCCATGTCATAAAGAGAGATGACGTGCTTTTGCGCATCGTCTATACACGACGCGCGGTTATGACACACAGTGCGTATCAAGGAAGGCCCTGTCATAAAGGAATACGACACGCATTTGCGTGCCGTAACCTTACGACGCACGTGTTTATGACACGCAATGCGTATCAAGGAAGCCCTTGTCAAGAAAGGCCATGTCACAGATGAAGATGACACACATTTTTGCGTATCATAATTTTAAATGTTAAAAAAAAATATTATTTACAGATTTACTAATTTTCATTTAATGTCTCATAATAGAAAATAAAATACCATATACAAAAAATACAATCCATTGCATAAAATTTATTGTCATACAAATAACAAACTTTATTTCATATTCATACATATGATTACATTATTCATTAAAAAACATATACCTACATCTTCCCTTAAAATGTTATTACATGATGTTCGCCACTTAATTGATGGATCACCAAGAGGAAAACCAATAACTACCCTAAAATGTTCCATGATGTGCCCCGATACTCATGTCATGTAACTTTAAATATTTAATAAAGTAAAATACCTCCTAAAAATAAAATTGCAAAAGAAACAACACATCATAACGAGAAATTACTAACATGAACGGAAGTAGTACATTATAAATTTGTTTTACCAAGAGTGGCATGGACGATCAGGTGCTACAAAGTTTGTCCAAGCTGCCAAACAAAGACTGCATGCAAACCAAAACATACATACACTATAAATTTAATTACCATACAATCATATTCATACATACAAGTTTGTTTTACCTTTTTTTGCCTCGTATCTTAATTTATTTTTTATTCTTATTAGCCATGGAGTGTTGGTGTTTTCTTTTCTCTCGTTCAATCAACCCTTTGTTTTACTTTAAAAAATTAAAAATTTCCCTACCAGTTGACTCTGCATCAAACAGAAAAAAGTAAGTCAATTAAAAGTCAATGGTCAATACCAACGACAAGTTTTTACTAAAGTAACCTGACACCATAAATACTTTGGTTTAATGAACAGGAACATGTATGTATAAAAATCGCAATTGAAGTACTTTGGTCTAATACCTCCATTTCTACTAAGTGTCCAATCATTGTTTGTGAAGGTTGAAGACCTTTAAACAAAAAACTCCAAATAATGTCATTAATGTGCATCTTAAGAACAGGAAACTATTGTAGTTCATGCACTAGACAACTAAATATTTCCCAAATATTTATTTATTATGAATTATAAAAAAAGAAAAAGAAAAAGAAAAAGAAAAGATAATACCCTTTACTAATTCATTGTATACAAGTCTAGCACATTGAAGACAATGATCCAACTCGAACCAAAACTTGAAGTGGGACCTATATATATATATATATATATATATATATATATATATATATATATATATATATATATATATATATAGACATATATATATATATATATATATATATATATATGTATTAAAGGGTTAAATTATTAATATAAATAAATAAATAAATAAAAATCTAAACCTCTCCCACAAATAAAGCAGATCAAGAATGGCCATGTCATGCCACTATGAGGATATACATGCTTGAAAGAGATACAAAGTACTAGCCAATAATATTGAGTGATAAAGAACCTCATTATTGCTTGGAGCATTAAGTTTCTGGATCACCAAAGTTAAACTTCAATGCCAAAAATGTTGTAAGAAAATAAAATATGAAGAGGGCAGAGTAAACCTGCTTAAAGTTTCTAAGAAAAACAATGATGAAAAATATCAAATCAAGAACACATCTGATGAGCTCAAATCTTCAAACAGAACCTGCAACAGGAAAAATCAGTTACTGGAATGTAAAATATAAAGAAAATTGAACAAGAAGTAAGGGAAGGGAAGGGGATGTCTCTTTTCTGACTTAATGGATTACAAATTTAATATATAGTTATTCCTTTTTTCCTCTCTTTGTTTTTTTGGATCACAACGGTTTAGAAACGAAACAGTTAAAGACTTGAATGCTTACTTATGCTTGTAACAATCAGCATATGAAGTATACTCCAGTGGACCAAGATACCCTTCTTTCCTAGGATTTTCTGTTGTCATGTCATCACTTTACCTTCTATCAAATCCCAATACCTATTAATATTATTATTGTATGATCGCATCACAGGAGGAACCAATCCAGATGCTTTCACAACATCAAATTGTGCACAACTCACCAAAAAACTGAAAAGCAAGCAACACATGGAAGTATACTCATAATTATAGATTTGTCATAATGTAGAAATGAATAAGATTAAAAATTCTAATTGATGTACGTCCCTGTAATGACAGGTGATCAAACCATAACCAAAATAAAATACAGGAGAAAAATCAAGTGAAAGGCAGATTTCAGCAGCCATATCCCATGCATCCCTGTAATGATACGTGGTCAAACCATAACCAAAATAATCAAGATTCAAGAATTATATCATAAGCAAGTTCATGTGTTTGTTACCACATATGGTGTTGATGAGTTGGAGGCAACATTGGATAATATACAGGAGAACAATCAAGTGAATAATTAATAAAGGCAGATGACCTCCAGTTCCGCTCACTAAGAAGTGTCTTACGATCATTTTGTCTCCCAGGTATTCTGTCTATAAGTGAATAATCAAGTGATTCATGTAGTAATTATTGAGTGCAAAACCATCTTAAGGCAATCTTGATGGGAGTTGTATGGCAAGAAGTGAAGACGTCAGCAGTAAACTCATGACTTTGTGGTAGGGTTTGATGTGCTTCACATGCTGCAAGTAGAATACAGTCTCTTGGTGAAGTTCCTGAAGAACTTGAGGGAGTCCAATCCTAGAGCTATATACATATAAATGATATTCAAGCATTTAGTTAAACAATAATAACAATGTTGTCAAGAAATAAATAGTTAATAATACCTCTATGAAGGCATTGGTAATCATCCCTGCAGCAGAAAATGGATCTAACTGAATCATATATTTGGCCTTGGGTTGCCACCTTTCATACTAGAAACTCAATGTTTTCCGATTGTTTCAAGAGCTTTTTGTGGGGCCATAGAAAATGGATCTGAAATCAAATACATTTAAATATAAACATCTGAAGCACTATATAACTAAAACAAAACTGACAGCCTTGAAGAAGAAATAGATGTGTTAATAGTGAGAAAGAGAATGTGAATGTCATAAACTCATAACTATACCTATCCAAAACTCCATTTTGGCACAAGGTGAAATCTTTATTACATCGGGTGGGTCCATGCTGATATTCAAACATAGAAAAAGAGCAACACATCCAGATTTCATCTGCAATTATTAAAAAACATCATTTTAGAGCTAACTATAAAGAAATACACTAGCAATAACCACCCAACACTAACATGTCATTTGTTTTCAAATGCATAGTTGTATTAGCAATGAATCATCACTGCTACAAGAACAACATGATAAGATTTGTATATCACAGCAACAACAATATGTTGTTGCGTTTGGCATATAGCAACAACAGCCTCCAGCAAATCTCTAAAGCGAACTACTTTGATAACCATGTGAAATCTAACTAATAAAACTAAATCACCCACTACAAGCTTTTTGATTAATAACTGTTGGTGCAAGACACTCAGGCATGGCAAAATACAGCTTCATGTGGCAAGCATACATGATAACAGGTCACCCTACTCATCTAATCAGTATTAGTGGGAAACTAATAGGTAAGACAGATGCAAGAGTACATCTTGTCTGATAGTAGATTATCTCATAAGCATATAAAATGCAAAAGGAAATCGAAATTGATAAATGAGTAAATGTAGGAAACAATAGATTACCCGGTCCTTAGGCCGCCATTTGGAGACCAACCCACTTAACCCTCAATTAGTTAGGTATGCTAAATTACTTAATTTGTTGGGTATGCTAAATAACTTAATGAGATTAACATTAATGAGATTAACTTAATGAAATTACCTATGAAGCTAACTAACTTAATGAAAGATAATGTTTTACATAAACAAAAATAGATTACCAATAATGAAAACAAACATTTAACCCTGAATTAGTTGGGTATGCTAAATAACTTAATGAAATTACATATGAAACTAGGTTACATGCTCTATAGGTTTTTTCTTTTTTCTCTCACGATCATAAATTATAAAAGTAACATCTCATATGTATTTATTCAAACAGGTTACCTGCTCTCATGGTTCACGAGTGAACAGATAAAAAATTTCCAAATTCACCTTTTTTGTGCTCAAATCATTTGTCTATGGAGAGTGATTTCAATCAGGTGAATCAAGTAATTCTCATGAACATTAATAATAAACTTTTCTAATTTCTTCAGATACAACACAAAGGGATGAACTCACATGGAGTCGTGAGCTTTGGCGAATCGGATCTGATTAGGGAACCATGGGAAGGCAAGAAATAGGCGATGTAGAGAACATTGGTCAGCAGAGTAAGTCAACGACTGAGAATGAGTTGTAGTGGTGTTGTTGAGGTGTGTCAAGATCATGATAAACATACCTTAATCAACCCTAGGGCTTGGAAACTTGAGCAGTCGTTCTAGTCTCCGGTGAGGTGAGGTGAGCCTAACATCTCCGGTGGAAAGAGGTGAGCTAAGGTCGCTTGCAGGTGAGGAAAGCCAAGGTAGAGAACGTTTCAGAGAGCACTCCATGAAAAAATCCCTAGATAATGGTCCTATTGGTTTTTTTATAAGATAAATAGTCTGTTCAATGAAGACGAGGGTTAGAAGACAACGTTGAATGAATTATTCAATAGTGAGGGCAAGAAAGTTCATCGAACAAACCATACCGTTTCATCCTCCTCATGTGAGCTTTGCATTTGAATATTCTTCGTGGATCTTTGTCCTCAAGAGTTAGAAGCATTATCGCAGCATTACAGATTTTGTTGAGTCGTTCCTTTTCAACTATGCATCGTAGATTGTATTCTCCGTTCAATTTCAACTTTGTGTCTAGTCTTTCCTTTTCATTTGAGCGTCGATAATTAGGGCAAGAGGGAAAGGAGTAAAAAGGAAGGTGGGGTTTTTTAATTTTTTAGGATTTCATTCCCCCCCCTGGTTATTAAGGGATGAAACGCGCATTCCATTAAAAATTATAAAGCGACATCCATAGACGACGCACATTTTATTATAGGTGTCGTCCGTGTTTTTTTTTTTGGATTAGACACTAATTTAAGCGCACTAAATAATGCGCGACCTAAATTCTTAAATTATTTGAAGAGTTTACACTTTTTTAATGTCGCTCTCTAATGCGTAACATAAATCAAAGAGCATCGTGTTTTGCGCGTCGTAAAAGGGTCTTTTTCGTGTAGTGCTAGCTCTCTCTCTCTCTCTCTCTCTCTCTCTATATATATATATATATATATATATATATATATATATATATATATATATATATACACACTAATTGTTTCAAAATAATCTACAGGTGAATTATGAAGGCTTTTGTGAAATTGCTTCTCTATGTATAGAAAAGCCCATGGTGACATTTTATGATATAAATTTATACAAATCTCCAGTATACGTATAACTTTTAATAAAAAAAACATATTATTTACAATGTATAGGTTTCTTATATGTTTGACACGTAATTTTCCATCCCTGATTTCATTGAACATGAAAGAATAAATACTCAATACAGTGGGCCGTAGGCCAATATACCAGATCATTACAAACGGGCTAGTTTTCTTTCCAAATATAAAGCATTACACAAGAATATATATATATACACGCACACACACACACTATTACCCCCCCCCCAGGTAGTTTGATTGATAGTTAATGTCCAAACACTCAAACTGTTCCTGAAATCCATGAAGAGAGAATAAGGCAGTCCTTTAGTGAAGATGTCGGCATATTGAAGACTCGAAGGGATGTGCAGGACACGGATTTCACCAGTGGCAACTTTGTCTCTAACAAAGTGAATGTCTATCTCGATGTGTTTCATCCTTTGATGTTGTACTGGATTCATAGAAAGGTACATGGCACTGATGTTATCACATTACACAATGGTTGCCTTTGGAATGGAGGTATGAAGCTCACGAAGAAGATTTCGAAGCCATCAAGATTCGACAACCGCATTAGCAACAACACGATATTCAGATTCAGCACTTGATTTAGAGACCGTTGATTGACGTTTTGAAGACCATGAGATCGAGTTATTTCTTAAGAAAACAAAATAACCACTAGTAGATCTGCAAGAAGAAGGACAACCGCCCTAGTAAACATCTGAGTAGGAAATCAAACTAGTGGTAAAGGATCGATGGAGCTGGAGACTGAAATCCAATGTCCCAAAAATGTAACGCAAGATGCGTTTAAGAGAAGGAAAGTGAGGTTCGTGCAGTTCGTGCATATATAAACATATTTGTTGCACAACAAATGAGATGTCAGGTCGAGTAAAGGTTAAGTATTGTAAGCCTCCAGCTAAGTTGCGGTAAAGAGTCGGGTTTGAGACTGGGTCGCTTGAGTCGTCGAGTTTCGATTAGGTGTTGGGTGGAGTTCGACGCGGGTTACAATTTAACATCTTAGCTCGCTCAAGTATTTCAATGGCATATTTGCGTTGAGAAATAAATAGTCTTGCATTATTAGATGTTGCCGAGACGCCCAGAAAGTATGATATAGGACCTAGATCGGTCATAGAAAATTCCGAAATGAGAAGTTTGATGATTTGGTCTAACAGAGATGTCGTAGAAGCTGTCAAAATAATATCATCAACGTATAGCAACAAGTAAGTAGTGGCGTCGCCGCACTTAAATATAAATAAGGATAAATCGATTTTGTTGTGGATGAATCCAACACGGGTGATAAAGGTAGCAAACTGATTGAACCACGCTCTCGAGGCATGTTTGAGACCGTAAATAGACTTCTGGAGATTACACACATGATCTAGGAATTTCGATTCATGAAAACCCGGAGGTTGAAACATGTTAACGGTTTCATTGAGGTGACCATGTAAGAATGCGTTTTTCACATCATGCCGGTGTATAGGCCATTTCCGAGAAGTGGCGAGACTGAGAACGGTGCGGATGGTGGCCATGTTAACACGCTGTCGCATGCGTATTAAGCAAATAAATTATCACTGCTGATTGCACTACAAATATAGCACAGGGAAGTAGGGTCGAATCCTCAGGGACACAGCCTAATGGTCAACGCCTTTTTGCATCAGGCACAATCTAGTCAAGACAGAAATTTTTAAAAGGGGGATTTGAATTAAACTAAAAAATAAAATTGCAGTGATATTAAACTAAACGAAAATCAATATAAAAAATGATTTCAGTTCTGCTGTGACTTTCGTAATCATGTAACTAATCCAGATCTGATTATTAGAGATGTGTTCTATCTAAGTTGGTACTGAGAAAAACTAACAAGCTCTAGTAATTTCTCTTTTACCTAAATTAGTTAATCAAAACAAGCTCTTCAATTAATTCTAACTTTTTACTGACTAATCAAACAAGCTCTTAATTAAATTAGAAAAGTTGCATTATAATCTATGTAAAATTCCTAGCAATATCCAATACTTCTCACAAGCTCGGAAGCGTAAAGATATGATTTTTACAGTTTATACCAAAGTTAAATCCCAAAACAGAACCAATCTGATACTTGTTACTTTTACTAGTTTACAAGAACAATTACGGATTCTATTAACTGATTAACTGGAATGATAAAAACCCTAGCTAGGTGATCAAACTATCAAGAATCAAAATCAAACATTCATTAAGAACAAAACTGAAGAATCTAGGTAGAAACACAAATCAAAAACCGGATCTAATGATCAATCACAAGAAAAGTACTTATCTTATGCAGAACTGAAAACTAGCGTTTAGCCAGACATGACCAAAATCTGATAAAAATAGATGAAAAGACGCATCAAACAACTAATCTTACTAATCTACTTGAAGGAGATGATCCACAATCTTCAGATCTTCAGAAATTGATGAAATTAGAGAAGAAACACCTCCAAAATCGTATTTTTGTCGTCTGGTACCTCTGGAATCGCCAACTTAGGTTACTGGAAGGCTATCAGGGTCTTTTTATACGTCCAACAACAAAAACGACGTACCTGTGCTAGCAAAGGGACAACCTGCGATTGCAGGTTTTGAAATAAATGCATATGAGGCCATTTTAATGAAGTAGGATGCTATTTTGACACTTTTTGGCCAACATGCGATCGCAGGTTTTGAGTTTTCACTTCCAGATGAATTTTGGGCACAAAAAAACCTCGAAGGCAACCTGCGACCAAGCTTACGATCGCAAAAAGGTCACCTGCGATTGCAAGGAGACAACCTGCGATCGCAGGTTGTGCCTATGACGTCCGAAAATTTTTCTACTTTGCATATCGTTTTGAATCATATCAATCGGAGTTCCGTTTCTCTAGATATAGTCAAAATACTGATATGGGGTCAAAGCTGCCAGCAACATCTTTCAAGTTTAGATTGTATATTCTATCTTCGTGTGATCAATTCAATCGAATGTTTCTTGGCCAAGGCATCTTCCAAACATTTCTCATAATCCTTCATAAGTCCCAAGCTCCATTTTAAGCTCCAAATGCGCATCCAACTGCTCCCAAAGCACTGCTCCACTTAAACTATCTGAAATCAACATAAAACATGAGCAGTACGGGAATTCTAACGAAATACATGAGCTGAACATTATTTATCTAAATGACATGAAAATGAAGAAAATATGATGCTAAAATTATAATGAAAACTACCCTATACGATGCATAAAATGGCATCTAACAATATTTTTTTAATGATTAGAATGGCTCTATTTCTGCTTATAAAAATGGTGTTTTTTTTATCTTGAAGCGTTACCTTGTAATGATGTATATGAACCTGTGATGATTGTAGACAATTTAGATAATGGACTTTTTCAAATTGTTTCTTCTAATGGTATAGAAAAATCATGCTTGTGGCATTGTCGTCTTTGACATGTTAACAAGAAATGTGTCGCCCAACTCCAAAAAGATATAGTGTTGGAATCATTTGACTTAATTTCAGATGATACATGCGAGTCTTTTTACTAGGAAAGATGACAAAATTAGCATTCACTAGTTCTTGTGAAAGTGGTGAAGGATTGTTGGATCTTATACACACAGATGTGTGTAGGACCTTCAGATCCACCACAATGGATGAAAATCGATTCTATATGACTTCTACTGTTGATTATAGCAGATATATATGGCTAAATCTACTGAATAAAACATAAGTCAGAAACCTTTGAAATGTTCAAATAGTTTAAACATGAAATCGAGAATCAATTGAGTAGGAAGCTAAATATGCTTACATTCCATAGAGGCGATGAGTATCTTAGTATCGAGTTCCATGACTACCTCAAGGAATGTGGAATAGTTTATGAATTGACATCTCCTAGGACACCACACCTTAATGGTGTGGTTGAGAGGTGTAATCGGACCTTGGTGGAGATGGTTCATTCCATGTTGAGTCGAGCTTCCCTTCCCATCTCATTCTAGGGGTATGCATTAGAGACTACCA